TATTGTAAAAAGCCAAGGGAAGGTTTACATATGGAAGGAAACTTTCTTTGTTGGTTACGAGGGATGGGTGGTGAGGGAAGGGATAGGTAGGTAAGAGACAAGTATTGATTTGGGTGAAGGGAAAGGCAATATACCAAAAGTGAGTGATCAATACAGTAACATTAAGAAAAATAATAAAAATATAATAATAATCTTCAAGTGTGTGTAGGTGCATGCACGAATTCAAGTATGAGGATAACCTTTGGGTAGGAGACTCTGAGGTCCTGAAACTTATCCCTATAGGTAAGAAGAAAGGGTGCAGACTTTAGTTAAGTCCGTGAAAAAGGAGATGTTGTTAGGGAAGACTGGAAACTGAAGGTGAAGGCTGTCTTATCAGGTGATCCATAAATAGGAAGAGGGAAGTCAGGGATGAAGCAGAGATGACTGATTCTGCTAGCTGCGATGTGAAGTGAGAACCTTGAGACAGCATTCAGCAGCATTTTCTGAAGAAGTCTGAGCAGCGGAGAAGAAATGTGCTGAGTAGATGCATTTAAATATTTTATTTTCATTTCTTCCCCTATTGCAGTCTCTCATTTTGATAAAATGAATAGTTTCTCATTGGTTTGTGTGTTGTTTGTTCAAGCTGGCTTTCTACTGTCCACTAGACAACCTGATGTTATGTGAGGCATTAATACACCTACCTCTAGACAGCCCAAAGAAAAATGGCTTGTAAAGAAGACCGGCAAAAATGCCTAACTGCACAATTTCTTGTTCAAGTATGATTAAAATCATTTGTTCCTTTGGATAATATCCTATTATGACTCTGCAGCCAAAAATAACAAGGAATGAATTTATTTTTAAAAAGTGATGACTATTACTGCTGGTATTTTCATTATTCATGGAATAAAATTATGTTCCGCTCTGTCCATATAACAACATGGCATATTTTAATGATCCAGGAATTCTATGCCAGGGAACAATGAGATTCTATTCACTCTCCACATTGAGCACCTGTCAGGCATCATGCCAGGTGTGGGAGCCCAGGAGTGAATAAGACCCAGGCCTTGTCCACAAGGAACTTACAGTCTGCTAGGGAGAGAGACACACGCATTGACTTTTTTTCCAGGAGTGGTAAAGGGTTTGTTCAGGCATCCACTTTCTCTTACCCAGGTGGCTGGTGAGAAAGGCAGTTGTGTTCAAAGAACAGTTTTCCAAGAGAAGACTCATCCTACAAAGAGCACAATATTGATATACAATCAGTGCCAACCAGCAAAGGAAACAGACGCGTGCAACCTCTATTTTAAACAGAAATCAGTCTGTATTTATGTGATTTAAACATTCATTTCACCCCATGATGTTTTTGACTGTCGGGAGTAACTATAGAATATTCATCAGGTAAATTATTGAAGAGACAGCAGATTACAATAGAATGTTCTTACAAAAAGAGAAACTCCCAACCCCCAACCCACACACAAAACATGACCTATTTTTTCTAAAACATTATTCTAATTTTCATTTAAAAAAAAGAGAAAAGCTTCCCTCAGGGCTGTTAGAAAACCTGTACTTTTACTTACGAGATTTTTGTTTCTGTGGACATCATAAGCATCCTGAATGAAGTAACTTGTTGCAACTCACAAGGAGTCTTTGTACTCTTTGCAAGAAAAGTGTGATCTTCAAAACTTCTAAGCACACAGATAAAATTTTGACACTAAAGACTTATTACAAGAGTTTTTCTATATTTCAAATATTCATTACAACATGAATGAATTTTGAAAACATTATGCTGAGTGAAATAAGTCAGTCATAAAAGGATAATTATTGTATGATCCCACTTATATGAAAACAGGCAAATATATGGAAAGGAAAGTTTTTGGTGGTTTACCCAGCTGAGAGAGAGGGGAAGAAGGGGCACCACTGCATGGGGGCACTGAGCTTCTGTTAAAGGTGATGGAATAATGTGGAAAACACCAGTGGTGATGGCTGTACAACATCATCAATGGAACCACCATCACTGAATTGTCCATGTAAAAACTGTTGACTTACAATCACAGAAGGACAAATATTGTATTAGTTCATTACTGTAAAAAGTCAAGGAAAGGTTTGGAGAGAAATTTTCTTTGTTGGTTACCAGGAGGAGGAGGGGAGGGGAGGGAACACTGCAAAAATAAATAATAATAATAACAATAATCAATTAATTAAAAAAACCCTTGACTTAGCAAATGTGTTATATTTTTTTTTACCACAGTAAAAAAAAAAAAAAAAATCACACAGAAACAAAGTCAGTTAAGTTTTATTACAACCAAGAATATAAAATAAATGCAATGTAATTTATTTTAGTTTTAACAGTCATTTCAAGAAGGATGTCAGGACAACTCAAAAGCGGGGAACACTTGGCTGCAGCGGGTAACTTGTCCTGCACCCCCCACAGAGTGAGCCTTCCTGGGTGCAGCGGGCTCAAGCACACACCTCACAGTGGGGGGGGGGCGAGGAGGGAGAAGCATACAGTCATTTACGTCATCATAGAAAGGGGGATGCGTGCATAAAATTCCTGAAAAAGGAGACGAGGACAGGTACACTTCACAACAGGAATCATGAGAGATACAAACTAGGGCAGTTTAGAAAGGATATACTACATAACATATATAAAAAGGACTTTAAATTGTTGTTAAAAAGGACATCATCAGTCCAGATTTTGTATAATACTTTTAGTGTCTACACAGACAAATCTTTAAAAAAATTAAATAGTATTAATTTACTAAATATTTAGGAGATAACAGTGCATTAAGGATTTTTTTTTTTTTTTTAAATATAATACATACATATCACTCCTTTGCAGTGATAGCATAGAAGAGTAAGTATGGCCTTAGGTACAACATATTTTTTAAAAATCCTAGAACAATGAACTTTGCTTTACAATATTTGTGATAGTTCTTGAAGATTATGGGGACCTATACTGTTATGTTTTATACAAAATATCACTTGTTCTTGAGTCCTTCAAGCCTCCTTTAATCTAACTGCCATTTCACTGTGTTCTCCATTCCCTAGGAAGATAGCATCACAGAGTTTAAGGTTTACAATTTTCAGAGAATTCTTCCTTCATTGTATAGTTTCTACTACATAAAGGTGTTCAAAGCAGATCAAGCAATAATCTTATTCTTCAACTATTTTTTCTTTCTCCGTTACCTTTAGCAGAGAAAAGAGCATCATTTTAGAGGCATACAATTAATTAGCAGTTGCTTTTCCACAAAAGAGGCAGTGAACATGTAGTAAAAGTCATCCCTTCCATTCTTAAGAGTACATTAATATGTTGTAAGAGCAAAAGAGTAGTGCTAAAGGCCAACATTCTAAGCACTAAAGTTTCAAAACCAAACACATATAAAAATATACGTGTCCTTGGTTTCTGCATGTTACTGCATGTTCTACTCCATCCCAAGGATTGTTTCAGCCTCACAGTACCAGCCCTGCTGCCAAGACTACCTCAGCCTTAAGCTGATCTGTCTCAAAACTCTAGAATTCTTTTTCCAAACACACCTCTCACCAGAAAGCTAACTCTAAAATTGAGTTGTAATATGGAGAGCAGAAAACCTTCACTTGGATTCAATCCTTCCTTTCAATGGTCTTCTCTGGTTTGAGTGTTCCCCCAAGCTGAGATGTGTTCGTCCATTGAAGAGTGGTCCTATGTCCTCAGGGAACACGACTGCATCTAGTGAATTTTCAAAGAGGAACAGGGTCATTTTGGGACCACAACGGTAAACTTTAATCTCAAGGCTTCACAGGTCTCCTCGGAGGTCCAACAATTTTAGGGCCCTTATGGGTGTTAAAGGCTTTATCCTCCTTTATAGGGAAAGTGTACCAAAATTATCTCAGAGTAATGGGCACCAGTGGGCATTACCAACCCTGAGGCAAAAACAAGAGGAAGAAGGGCCACTCTCAGCCCAGTGACCAGAGACCCATTTGTCGGTCATGGAGATTTCTGACTTCAGCCTGGAAAATACTGTGTACTCAGAGGGAGTAATGAAATCCCCCTACAGCTTGTACGTCAATTCTGCCAGCAAAATTCACTATAAAGAAAGCAGGGTAGTCTTGTGAATGTATAAGCACACATCACAAGAACTCTCAAAGCTGCTTACAAAAGTATTAAAAACAGGCATGAATTTTAATTTATACACACACTTGGGTTTGTCTTCTTTTATAAAATGCAGTCTCCCCTTGAGGACAGAAACGGAGCTTCTATTTTCATTTCCGGCAACACTCAGTAGAGTGTGTTCTGCCTACAAGCATCACCCAACTGCTATTGAAAGGCTGCTGTGAATATTTCAGATTTACACTACTGCCTTTTGTGATATTTAATCTCTGACATCCTTTAATGTGGACTGATCTAGAACGATGCTCTCCATAGCACTGTTTACCACAGAGCAGAATTCGGAATAATGACTCCATCTGAACAGGGTTAGAAGTAAACACAAGAACGTTCATATCATAAGATGATTTCACAGACAAGCCAATCTCACTGCACAGATATCCCAGGGGAGCTTGATTTATTGTCGTGGAACTGACCATAAGCTCCTCAAGGTCTGGAAGTATGTCTTGGCCTCCCATTGTGTCCTCCACCAGCCTGGCGCTGGGCATATGGAGAGAGTGCAGAGAGCATCTGCTGATAAACTGCTCTTGACAGTGAGGCTTCAGGGCACAGGGTCGGACTTTATACAGGCAGCTGCATGACACAGAGGGCTACTGATTTCTTCTTTTAAAACACAGAAGGGATAAACTACCATGGAGACAATCAGAAATTCCTTCCAAGGGAACACAGCAATTGTTTCATCTTCAGTCTTGATGAGTGCCACTATAATACAGTCTTTATTATCAAGAAACATTATGCTGAGATCAGTAAGGTCCTTGCTGGCTACAGTATCACATCAATAGTGCAAAATGTATACTGGCTTCTGTCTGAAATCTTATTTTACTTGTGTATGGACCCAGAGTATCATAACCAGGTAGATAAGTTCACAAAGAAGAGTAAAAAAGATGCATATAATTTGCATATACAACATCAGCTATTTCTTCTAAGTTCAAGGAAAAAAAAAAAAAAAACGTTTAAAACAAGGCTGGTGGTGCTCGTAGCATTCAGAGGAACACAAATTTCTTGGCTGTTACATTACAATGGGAGCTCTAAATCTTTACATCACTTTCTGACTCTGGGGAGAAAGGCTCCCTAAACTGGCTAAGAACTAACTCAGCCTCTAATTCATAGATAATGGATATGCAAATATTCACCTTATCTAGTATAATCTTATACTACCTGCCCATAGTTTTTAGGCACAATTATTAATTTTTCTCCTAGGGGCAAAAGAAAGCATTCAGTGCAATGAAAAGATTCTTGATAGAATTTAGTTTCAGTAACAACAGCAAACTTATGCATACATAATACAAACTTTAAACATGGATAAAACCTAACTTTTTTAGCATGCTTTAAAAATAGTCACTCTATGTCTAATGCAAAAATGAATGGATAACACTACCCCTCTCTTAAAAGCAGATTAATTTGCAGGCTTCTATTTGAGTACTCTTGATTATTTAATAAAGTTACTCAAGCTGACCCAGAGGTGAAGAAACCGACAGTTCTTTAGAGAAGCCAACTTTATGTACAATACACACGAAAAGCTTTTCCTTCAAAGGGAAGTAATACATCCTTTAACCAACATTACTCCTTCTTAAAGATATCCTAGTGCAGTTAATATTCTCTTGCAGTTTTCTGGTGGTGAAGGTCACCAGAAGACTGTACTTCATCAAAGCTCTTGAAACCTTTTTTAAGGTAGACTCAGCTATATGAAGGTTAAAAATTATATCTCTTAATTACTGAATACATTTCAGAATAAGATGATGATTCTTGGAACTAAGTTCCATATGAGTGATTATATAAAAATTACAACAGACTTCAGTTCTTCATGGCATCAAGCATAGTAACCGCAAAGATCTAGGCTGTTTTTGGTTGGAGGTTCCCTCCTATCCTACCTCTTGTCTTTTTATTAGCTCTTCCCTGAAACTAGAGAAATAAAAATACAATACTAAAGTACTTTGGGACAGTAACAGTTTAAGACTTCCATGAGCAAAACAGTTATATCCTGTGAAAATAACGCAGTGCTTTCAAAGGTGCATTTTCACCTGTGTTGCTAAAACAGTTCATGTAGTATAAAACTATACACCACTTGAGTCCTGTTCCTAAAACATTAAAACCCTATTAAAAGAGCTTCGAAAAGATCAATCATACTGATTGCTACAGCATGAGAAAGGTGCACCAGGAAATCCTTCAAAAAAATGCTGAAGGTTACAGAAGTTAAGTGCTGGGATTAGATCAGATGCTTTATCAGAGATCACAATGGAACACATGCAGCGGAAGGGTGTCGGGAAACTTCACGAGAATCTTCTTCAAGTCATAAAGAAGAGGTGTAAGACCTGCAAAATGCTCAGTATAGAAAGTTCCCCTCCTAAATGAGTTTTAAACTGGCATCATAGTTGACGTTTTTGGTTCTTTTCAACGCAGACACTGTATTGCTGAGCCTGTGTGCTCCGCGGCTGGTCCAGCCGAGTGGAGCGGGGCTGCGCTGCTCAGTACCGGTGTGCCTGGTGAGATGGGTGGTACTGGGTGCTCTGCTGAGCCGAGGAGGAGTAGCCTAGTGTGTTCTGGGACTGAGAAGATCCCTGAACGCTGCTTTGGTAATTCAGGCGTGAAGTGGAGTGCTAGGAAAAGGAAAGAGGAAAAGGCAATTATTGATGGAAGAAGAAAACAGCTCAAAGTGTAAATCACAATCAACAGCTGCTAGGGAGTAGACTCACAGCAACTCCACATGGGTCCTAGTAGAGTTGTTTTCAATGGCTGATTTTTTGGAAGTAGATTACCTGGCCTTTCTTCCAAGGTGCCTCTGAGGGGACATGAACTTCCAACCTTTAGTTAGCAGTTAAGTACATTAACGGTTTATACCACCCCAGGGACTCTGTTAGTCACACCAGGCCAGAGAACTGAGCCATCCTCCTCATGAGGCTCCTGGTTTAGATCCATGGAAGCTGACTTAGCATCACAGCCTATAACCACATGTTCTGACAGGGACCACACTTGGCTGGATTTCTTTGGGAGATAAGCTATACTGGCAAAGAAAGGCAGAGGGAAAACTTAGGCTGACTCACTGCTAATTCTGACTAATTCGGGGTTGCAGTTTAGCCCTTTGCATAACAGATTTGCAAACAGAAAAATCAATTTGGCACACTGACTCAATGGTGTTTTTATGTATATAGACATGCTGTTAATGTTCTCATTATAAATGACACAAAGCTGTCATAAATCATTTTTAGAGGGGGAATTTTCAGAGGTAGGGGCACCGTGGCAGCAGCAGGACCACCTACAAGACAAGGCAAGGCAAGGTGGGGCAGGTGGAGCAGTGTTAAGTGGGTCTTACAAGCTTCAAGTAATATTCAGAATAAAACAATTTTCACAGATGACTGGTCTCAAGAGATGACAGAGACAAATGCATTTTAATTCAATATACTGATATTTAATATTAATGCAACTAGCATTACTTCAAATGAAACACTCATCTTCATAGTACCTACGCTAAATATGAAAAAAAAAAAAAAAGTAAAAGGAGCTCTAGTGGCGCAGTGCCTAAGGCATCTGACTGCTCACCAGAAGGGTGGTGGTTCAAACTGCCAGCTGCTCCGTGGAAGAAAGATGGGGCAGTCTTCTTCCGAAAAGATTTACCACCTTGGAAATCCTATAGGGGTCACTATGAGTCAGAACTGACTCCATGGCAGTGGAAAAATAAAGAAGAAAAAAAGAAAACATGTAAAAGGAAAATTCATATATGGAATAAGGCATGGTTTCTGGTTAAATTTAAGCATAGCTGGAGCTTGTGTCTTTGGTGATTCTCAGAAGGTTCATTTTTTTTCCGGTGAGTAAAGTAGAAGAGAATGGAAATAAAGTTATTATAAGGGTTAAAAATGTAAACGCCTTTGAGGTGGAACTGGGGGGTTTAAGGAAGGGATGAATCAGTAAAAGCTGCCAAAGTGGACTTGCAACATCTGGTCCAAGACAAATAGTGCAATAAAGTAGCCCTCAGTGACAAAATCCTGCCAAGTTGAGTTGGTGGAAGGCGGCTTTCAAAAACCCACATTTTAACTATGATTTATTCTGTCATTTGTACTTTGAAGACATTAGTCCAATTTTGCTGGTAAACTAAAATGCAGACATGTAAGAACCTAATATGTTGTAGTGTATCTCTTTTAATACGATATTTTTTCTTTTCTTAAAATATTGTGATTTTGATGAATGTTTACAGAGCAAATTCATTTCTCATACAGTTCATATACATTGTTTCATGACATTGACTGAAATTCCCCACAATGTAGCAGCTCTCTTCCCACTTGCTCCCTGTAGTTACCCTTCCCTGTGACCTTCTTTCCTACGTATTCCTGCCCCCCCCCCCAACTATCTCCCTGTGCAAACACTGTCCTTCTGTTCTCCCCCAATTGATGGCTCTAGGGAGTGTATCAGGAGCTCTGGTAGCATAGTGCCTAAGGCACCTGACTGCTAACCAGAGGCTGGTGGTTCAAACCCACCAGCCACTCCTCGGAAAGGCTGGGCAATCTACTTCTGTAGTGATACTGCCTCAGAAACCCAAGGAGGGGTTGCTATGAGTCAGGTCCGATTCAATGGCAAATAACAACAACAACAGGAGTGTATCTACCTGATGTAAATGTTCACCCCATATGCCTGTCTACTGTTTGGCTGGCAGCCACAGGAGTGAGTTCAGTTCCAGACCTGAAGGGTAACTAGGGGCCATAGTCTTGGGAGTCTCACCAGGCTCTATCAGACCAGCAACCTGGTCTTCTTTTTGGTATGATTTTGAGTTTTGTTCCACATGGTTCTCCCACTCTATCCAGGATTTCCTGAACTTATGCCTTTCTGAGTGGTTTACAGCAGTAGCCGGGCACCATCTAGTTCTTCCGGCGTCACGGTCATTTAGGCTGAGGATCCCATGGTCTAATTGTTTCCATGCGTCCTTGGTTTTCTTCATCCTTCTTTGCTCTAGACAAGAAGAGACCCATTGTTGCATCTAGTGGCCATTTGCAAGATTTTAAGACCCTAAAGTAAGATGCAGAACAATGTTTTTGTGTAGTATATTATGTCAACTGAGCTTGATGTCCCCTATGACCATGGTCTTGAGGCCACAGGTCCAACTACTCGTTCCCTCAGGGTGGTTGGCTGTGGCCAATAAGCTATCGTAACTTTTCCCCTTGTTAGCTCTATTATATATTGGGACATTCGTACAGCACATACAAGTATGTATGAACAAACACCGTCTGCCAATTTTATAGATGGTCATGGTCTATTCCCTTTTGCCTAGACATACCTGATCATTCAGCCTGTCTACCCACCTATTTATCCATAGATTAATGTCTATTGTTACTGACAATGCAGTATTGTATATGTAAAAGGGTTTATCTTTGTTGTCTGTACCTGTTATGTACCTCTCTGCGTCTTCCTCTTCCTCAGTGCCACCATGTATGATAAGATTTTTAAAATGCCATGTCCCATTTTAAAACTACTACTTATATTTGCTTATAATTCATTGAGGAACTTTGGTGGTATAGTGGTTAAAGCATTCAGCTGCTAACCAAAATGTCAGAGGTTCAAACCCACAAGCTGCTCCATGGGAGGAAGATGTGGCAGTCTGCTTCCACAAACATTTACAGCCTTGGGAGTCCTATGGGACAGTTCTTCTCTGTCCTATAGAGTTACTATGAATTGGAATTGGCTCCTTGCAGTGGGTTTAGTTTTTGGTTTGGTATAATTCATTGATGAAGCACTAATGGAACTCATTGAAAAAGATGACCGTGGTTCTCCCTTAATAGAAAAGTTAAGTTTGGCCTTGAGTAAATTGAGATAAAAGCAATTCAGGGAGAACCAGATATAAGAAAATAAAATATTACATTAACCTTTCTTGGAGTTTATAAAAGATGGCTATTAATTTCTTATTTAAAAGGGTTTATGATGAAACTTAAATCCAGAGGCAAAGATGCTTTATTCCTGAAAAGGCCTAAAACAAAAATGTGAGGAAACAATAGTAAGGTTAGTGTCCGATAATCGTTAGGCTGTGATTACTTTAACAGAGGACACTCAGCAAACAATAGGTCTTCCACATGAGAAACCATTTTCACTCTCCCAGAATCCAGATTTCTGGGTCCACAGATTTGGGTGACCCATCCAGGCGACTTGCCCTAAGGAATCCTTTTTAATCTTGAGTCTTCAAGAAAACTGATTTTCCTGGAGTCATCTTTGGGTCAAACAATAGCCTAGTAAGCAGTTTAGAAGAGACTATTTTGCCTTAGGCATTGGTAATGTTTCAAATAATTACTTCAATTATCTATGTGCAGTGGGTTTCCAGAGCAGAAACTCCAGGGTCTGCCTGGAAGCTGTCTTTTAGGATATACAGCACATCCTTAGTCCTCAATAACTGTGTTTTTACAACTTACTGATCCTGAAACTTTGCTTGTGCTGCATCTCCTAAGCAACCAAGATGAAAGGAATTTACAATGACCTTCAGGGACTACCCTGCCCCACCCCACCTATATAACCTGTTTTTACTAGTCCTTCTTTGGAATACCTTACTGATATTTGAGTTTGATATTGCTTTCCACTAGTATCTACTCACAATATATCATTACACTAATTTCTGGTGTTCCTTTATGTGTTTAGGTTTTTAACACATATCAGACAAAAAACAAACAGATTGATAATACAAGAGTTGTAAACCACGTGCAATAAGATTTTCCCCATCCCACCCCATGCTAGCTTCCCCAATTTGTTGAAGAGAAAAATTAATAACAGACATCTTACTTTGATTTTAAGATTTTACTTATCCACAAAACCAAACATTAACCTAAAAATCCCGGCTCAAAGAAAAAAACAAATCAATTCGGTTTCTGCCAGAAAACCTACTGCCACTGAGTAGGTTCTGACTCATAGTGACCCTATAGGAGTTTCCCAGGCTGTATACATCTTTACAGAAGCAGGCTGTCTCATTTTACTCTGTGGAAGAGCTGGTGGGTTTAAACTGCTCACCTTCTGATTAGCAGCTGAATACCTTAACCACTATACAACCAGTTCCTTGGTTTCTGCCAGAAACTGCTCTAAAGCAATGTAAAATTGTATTTTCCAGCTGGAAAAGTTCAGTTACAACAAAAGCCATTACCTCCTGATTTAATGAAAAAAGATTCTAGACTTTCCTAATTTAAATCTCAAAAAGGTATGGCTATAGATGGGTGGAGGTCCAGAGGTTACCTTGTGGGGTTATCAGTGTATCTCAGTAGGAGGAGGAAGGCAGGGTTCAATCAATCATGTTTATGGGTGATCTTCTATTCTCTCTTCTCTTCCCTTTATAAATCTCACTGTAATGAGTCTACTTAGCATCATTTGTTTTTTGGGAATCAAAATGGTCTCCCTATGTACAGAATAACTGTTCAGAATAAAACTTTTGTTTCAATATCTTTGAGTTTTGATTATTTTTAACGAACTTAAAGCCAGTTGCCTTTTAGTCAACTCTAACTTATGGAGACCCACAGAGAACGGTGCTCCACAGGGTTTCCCGTGGCTGATTTTTGGGAAGCAGGTGTCCAGCACGTTCTTCCAAGGCACCTCTTAGTAGACTGAGACCTCCAATCTTTTGTTCAAGCAGCAGACCACCGCCCAGGGACTTCCTCTCCAACTAAGCAGCTGATGTATCTATCCATTTTGTAGACACCCTCTACCCAAAAAATCCAAACCCACTGCCACTGAGTCGATTCTGACTTACAGCAATCCTATAGGTCAGGGTAGAACTGTCCCCATAGGACTTCCAAGGCTGTAAATCTTTACAGACACCAACTGCCTCATCTCTCCCGTGGAGCAGATGGTGGGTTCAAGCCACTGACTTGGTTAGCAGCCGAATGCTTTAACAACTCCATCACCAAAGCTCCTTAGATACATTCTAAGATTTATTTTTAAGCAGGGAGCATAGTAAGGACAAAGAGAAGCATTTTGAAAAGCTGAGTTTGAAAGAACAGAGGAGAAATGTAGTATTTAAGAAATCCGTCCACAACAGAATATAATCAGGCTAAGATGCTGCAATTAGAGACACAAAGACAAGTGAGTATGTAGTAAAAACTAGTTGCTCATATAATAGTAATAAAATGAGCGTTAAAGCTTAGGGAAGAACTGAATTTATAACAAAATTCAAACAGAATCATGACTATGCCCCACATAGCAAGCTGCTTAGAGTGGCTCAAAGTAGAAGCCTTTGTTAACTGGAGCCAAATAAAGTTCTACATACTGTTCTGCTTGCAGGGAACCACGAAGGAGAAGTTTTTAGGGTGATCATGTGGTGCAAATGGTTAGGTGAAAGGCTGGTGGTCTGAACCCACCACCCAGGGGCCCTGCGAAAGACAGGCCTTGTGATCGTCTCCCAAAAGGTCACCGTCTTGAAAGCCATAAGGAGAAGCCCAACTGCATACGTGGGTCACCAGTGGGTCACATGCCTTGGAATCGCCCAGAAGGTCAGGAGTAAGGACCACAAGAAAACAGATCAGTCTGCTGAGACAGCAAAAACACAAAGGCAGAGCAGGCAGCTACTTGCCTTGTCTTTCTTGTTACTGTTTTCCTCTATTCCAATGACTTATCAGTGAGTTTATGGTTCCCTGGGCCAAGGTTTTATTTTCTATTATCTCTGTCCTAAGTGCTCTGGTCCATCCTGAGGGATTATGGTTCTAAATCTCTCTTTCTTTTTTTTTTTTAAAAACCTTTCATTTAAGTTTCTCTTGTTGCCTGGTCTTTTCTTAGTTTGTTACTACCTTGAAAACTTTCTTTTACAAGATTCCCTAATGTTTTCACAATGAGTATTTTTACCTCTCAAATAGCAATTCCTCAATTAGGAGTATAATTATAGTTTTATTTGATCTTAATAACAAAAGTATTTTTTGTTATTTTGGTCTCAAGATTGTATCTAATGAGAAATTGTATACCTGAAAAATACTGAATTGACAAATGTTGTGATGAATATGTTTAGCACAACAAACAAATCTTAAGTCATTTCTGAGAAGTTCCAGACTCCATCCCCTTCTCTTCTACGTTTATGTGGCTACTTACTGATTATTTCTACCCAGTGAAAGCAAATCTTTCATGTAGTTTGTTTTGTCCAAAGTAAAGAGATACTCCTCTCCCCCTTTTCAATTGTCTCCCCACTTCCAGCCTCCTCAGGGTGTCAGGGATGAACAAGCCAGGAAACCAAATATCTCACAATTATGTAAAGTATGATTTTTTGTAAAGAATCTTTATTTTCATATAATACCCTGGAGACAGGATATGCTTTGCATGATCAAACTTTAGGGCTATCGAGTTTATTAATCTGCTCCCTAGTTCAGAAAAGTACACAATTCTGGGGAGTACCTGATAATCTGGCGGCATAACAGGCCCGCCTGAGCTTGCCCCGGAAGGCCCGAGCCGCGGTTTCTTGTTGGGAGGCACCTGGTTGAGGCCGGCGTCCTGGCTGTGCTGCAGCCCTGCTCCGGCGCCCCCAGCCCCAGCCCCGGTGCCCCCCGCAGTCCCGTTGGTCTGGGTGCTGTTCTGCTGCTGTGCTGGTGCCTGCGGAGGGGCTGCTGCCTGCTGCGGTGGGCCGGTGGGCTGCTGATGCTGGTTCTGCTGCTGTGGCTGATTCTTTGAAGGAAGAAAAAAGAAAAGCAAGCTTGGTATGAAACAAAATTTACAGTACGTTTCTCTCATCAGTTGATTTGCACATGTGATTGCTGACCAACGTAGGGGGCAACTTACGTCACACACTAAAGTGACTGGAACTGACTGGTTTATGAAAGTGCCAGGGAATAAAGTGTCCCCAGAGATCAAAGTACCAAACCCTGAACAGGACTCAGTCTGAAGTGCACTTAGATTGCACAGTAACCCTCCAAGTTAGTCATGGATATTCCGCTGAAGGTCGGAAGGTACACAGGAAATGGCTTCCACTCACTGAGACAACCATGTAAGTCTTTCAATACTAACTTTGGGAAAGTAGAAGGGTTTGGGAAGCAGGCCAATGCGCCAGGTAGGATAAAAGAGCACAGTAATGCTTTGAAAAGCCACTCTACAGAAAGTGATGTGAAGGGCACTGAACAAACAAAAAGGGCAAGAATTAGGAATTAAGGTCAAGAACTGGCAGTAAAACAAACTAGAAGTTCACCAGGAAGAACACATCTGCAAACTTACTAGATTTCAAATTTCGGGTGCATCTACAATCCCAAAACTTCCAGAGAAACAAAAATAAATACATGCTTATTAAACCAAAGGCAGTTACATATCTAAGTATTAAGTTATACTTCCTTAGGATTTCTTTTTTGCCTGCCTTACTCTCTGGAGGTGCAAAGTGCATCACGCAGTTTCTACCTTGTCGCCTTTCTCTTCCGGTTCATCTTCATTAAGGAATTCTCGTTTGGGGTACGGAATCTGGCAGCCAGCAAATACACTAGAAATTATTTAGAAAAAAAAGGCATAGGTATCATGGCATGACTTAAAATTCACAGTCGGGAACCGTGTTGATTTTAAATTCCCCCCATCTCCTTTTTTGTCTTTTTCTTTGTTGCTTAACAGATCTGTTTATGCACTCCTACTTCTTATCTTTGGCTAGTATTTGCTGGGTTCCTCCCAACATAATTTAAGCAGTAAGAAAAGAACAATTCGTTTTCTGAAGTTTTACATTAATTGTCACTTTCATTAACAAATCTTAGCTGCTTTAGTTGGGTGGCATACGCAATGCACAAGATTTTCCAAATTAATTTCATCAGCAACAAAAATAACTGTATTTGTATTTGCTTCAACAATGAAAATGTATTTTTCCCCTCAAGAAAAGCTGCAGCTCTATTAAATCCAAGTACAAATCATATATTTGGATGTCATAAGGATGAAGAAATAGAGGTGCTTTGTGGCTCGATGGACAGACACATTATGGAAGACAATATTTCAGATGATCAGCTCCCTACTGCTTTGGTTTCCTCTCTGATCTGACCGACTGACCTTTTCATAAAGTCCCATCTGTACTCGGCTGTAGTTTTCATCTCTAAAACCAATTAACAGTCATCCCTAAAACAGCTGTTTCGATGCACACTTCTTCTCTTTGGTTTTCCTTGTTTATAAATACAGGACCTTTCTCTTTAGCAATTTATCTCTGAGTATTAATGAAGAAAGTAATACTTTAGCAACAAGTACTTCTCTTGCTTTCAGCTGCCATGTGACACCTTCAACCCGGAGCAAAAGACACAAAGTAGGATACATACTCCAATGTCGGCAGGGGGTCCTCCTGAAAATAGGGGTCCTGCAGAGCCTGCTCGGAGGTAATTCTCTTGGTTGGATCCATAGTAAGGAGTTTCTGAAGCTAGAATAACACGCAAGAAATTGAGAGCATGTGAAAGTGTTGTTTACAAGTCAACATTTTAACTTTTATATTAATGGCTAACTGGCATAACGTTGAATATTATTTTGTATAGCTCACTGCGTGACTGTTATGCTATACACATTTATGTGCAATTAGCATAAATCTTCAGCATTAAAGCCCTTTTAAAATTTAATTGATTTCCTACTGATATATCATAGGGAAGAAAATCAAACTAGAACTTAAGGCGGAACGTCTCAACAGAAAAATATTTAATTTTGCTCCCAACTCATCAAACCCATTGCCATCAAGCCAATTACGACTCACAGCAACCACATAGGACTGAGAAGAACTGCCCCATAGGGTTTCCAAGGCTGTAAATCTTTAAGGAAGCAGATAGCCACAACTTTCTCCTGTGGAACAGCTAGTACGTTAGAACTACCAACCTTACAGGTAGTGCCCAAATGCTTAACCACTATGCTATTAACCAAAAACCAAAATCAAACTCACTGCCATCGACTTGGATCCGACTCATAGTGACCCCTCCTTGAGTTTCCGAGGCAGAATCACTATGGAAGTAGATTGCCCAACCTTCCTTCTGAGGAGTGGCTGCTGGGTTTGAACCATCAGCCTTCTGGTTAGCAGTCAAATGCCTTAGGTACTAAGCCACCAGAGCTCCCACTACATCACTAGAGCTTCTTAATTTTGCCCCAGCACCCACGTAGTGCCTAAGGTACTTGACTGCTAACCAGAAGGCTGGCAGTTCAAACCTACCAGCCACTCCTTGGAAGGAAGATCGGGCAATCTGCTTCTGTAGTGATATCGCCTAGGAAACCCAAAGAGGGGTCACTATGAGTTGGATCTGACTCTACGGCAGTGAGTTTGGTTTGGTTTCTAGCACCCACCAATGCCTTTTCTTTCTAAGAGGAGATAAATGGGATGAGGTACCAGCTGTGCTCAGAATAAGACTTCACAGTCTTAGAGAGATGTACCTACCAAGAGGAATACTTTGCTGTCAGGCTTGACTTTATGCTTCTCCATGTACTTTATGAGGCTACTGTTGGCATACCTGCAGGAACATGGACAATCATACATCATTGGGAACACTCACACAACTGTATATTTTTAAACGAAAAGCTCCAAGATGGTTTTCCTAACTGTCGTGTGTGTTTAAGATGTTGTTTCACATAATTAGAAAGAAACACTTTACCAAGTGTTGGCAAATGTGTGAAGAAATAAGAATTGTTGTACATGATGCATGTAAAAATTTACATCGGAAAATAATTTTACATTAACCAATAGAGTTGAAAATGTGTACATTCTGCGACCCAGCAACTCCATTCCCAGCTATATACTCAAAGACATACTTTTGCACATGTACATCAGCATAATGAATAAGAATGTTCTTAGCATATTTCTGTAATTGTAAAAGGCTGTAAACAACCCAAATGTCCAACAACTGAAGAATGGGTAATACACTGCTATATACTCAAAGTAGAATGGAATGTTATACAATAGTGAAGATAAAAAAAAAAAAAAAAAAAATGGGTAATACACTGCTATATACTCAAAGTAGAATGGAATGTTATACAATAGTGAAGATAAAAAAAAAAAAAAAAACAGCTGTATACATAAAGTTCAAAGGAGAAAAAAGCAAGTTGCAGAAGAAAACACAGTATGATACCATTTTTGTAAAGTTCAAAGAAATTTTTAAACAGAACAATCATTAATTTAGAGAGATATATAGGAGTAAAAATAAAAATGAGGAATAATAAATAATTCAGAATAATAGCTATTCTTTGGGAGGGGTATGACCAGGGCGGAAGGACACACAGGTATCTCAGTGATTTTATTGTTATTTGTTATCCTCAAGTTGATTCCAACTCCTGGTGACCCCATGTGTGCAGAGTAGAACTGCCCCACAGAGTTTTCACATCCATGACCTTTCGGAAGCAGGTTGTCGAGCTTCAGTTCTGAGGTGCCTCTGGATGGATGTGAACCACCAACCCCTCAGTTAATAATCCACTTAACCATTTACACACCCTGGGACCCCCTCAGCAATCTTTGTAATGTTCTATTTCTTAGGTTGAGGTGTGAATAGATGTATATTCATTTTATTATGCTAAATATAATATACATCTTACGTTCTCATATATATTCTTTACTATGTATGAAATATTTCCAACTAAAAAGGTTAAAAAATAAGTAAGTTCATATTAGAAAATTTAGAGAACATAAAGACAATTATAATCACTCAATAATCAAATCATCCATTTATAAATAACCAAAAGCCAAAATTCTTGTGTTTCTTCTAGTTATACACGTATATGATACACAAAACAGAGTGATTTTTTTGTTCCTTTATACAAAATTGAGATTATATAAATTATTTTATATTTTTTTAAACTCAGTATTGTTTCATAAACATTTTCCCTTGTCATATATTCTTTAAACTTATGATTTTTAGTGATTTTATATTCCTATTGTTAATCTATGCAAGCCTTAGATTCTCTATCTGAAAGGGGGAATTATAATTACCTCATAGAACTGTTATGAGGATCATGAGAAAATGTAAGTGTAGGGCTGAGCAGCAAGCCTGGCACACAGTAAGTACTCAGTCATCTGTGGCTGCTCTGAGTACTTCCACAGGATACAATCCTGGAATTTACAGGTCAAGGGCGTGCACAGTTTAAAGCCTTTTTAATGTTCTAGAACCTTGGCATACAGACCTGGTCCTCAGCAGCAGAAGCACCACCTGAGAGCCTGTTAGAAATGTAAATTCTCAGGCCCCACACAGATTTGAATCTGAATTTGTGTTTTAACAAGGTCCCCATGTAATCTGGGAGCTCTGGTGGCATAGTGCCTAAGGTATGTGACTGCTAACCAGAAGGCTGGTAGTTCAAACCCACCAGCCACTCCCAGGAAGGAAGACTGAACAATCTACTTCCATAGAGATTTTAAAAAAAGAAAAAACCTAACTCACTGCTGTCGAGAGGGATCCGACTCATAGTGACTCCTCTTTGGGTTTCTGAGGCAGTAGCACCACTGAAGTAGATTGCCCAACCTTCCTTCCAAGGAATGGCTGGTGGATTTGAACCACCAGCCTTCTGGTTAGCAGTCAAATG